GGGATCGGGACGAGGAGGAGCAGCAGGAGCGGGGATCGGCGCTCCCGCCGCCGCCGCCATGCTCCTGTGCGCTGCCCTGCGCGCCGCGGCCGCACGCTCGGTAAGGGCTCCCTGCCCCCGCCGGCCGGGAGTCGGAGAGGCCGCGGGAGAGCGGGGAGGCCGCGGCGTGGCGTAGGGAAGGGGGGCCTGGGGGTAGGTCGGTGCCTGGAATGCAAGTGTGTGGAGCATGGACGCACAGTCCCGGCTCTTCTGCAAAGACGGCCTGAGCAGCTCAGTCTAGCAGCGGATCACGCAGTCGTAGCCGCAGTGCAGTGACACAGGATGTTTGCAGCCTTTCCCTGTCATATGACCTATCCTGTCCCTGGGAGCGTTCAGGGCCAGGTCGGGTGGGACTCTGAACAGCCGGGTATAGTGGAAGTTGTCCTCCCACGGCAGGCCATTGGAACGACATGATCTTTAGGTCCCTTCCACCCCAAAGCATTCTGTGATTCTACTTTAAGAAATCTCAAAATTGCTCAAGAATTAAGTGTAAAAATAAACGTAATTTAATACAAAATTAAGTTTTAATACAATAAACGCATGCGGTAAAATGATCAAATCTTACTAATACCGGCCAGAATCTAGAAATCTTGATCCGTTCAGAGTACAGAGAATAGTTAAACAGAACTTGCATACGGGGCTGTGTTCTGTTCATTCTTCAAGTTTGTGTTTACATTTGCCCTCTTATGCCAGTTCTCAGTGTTTGGTTCCATAAATGCTGAAGAGGCATGTAACTGCTTACTGGAGAAGAACTTAAGTAGTAGTGGTGGTTTCTGCAAAATTTATAGCATATAGGATATAAAGTCACAAATGAGGAAATTCTTCATGAAATGTTGAATGAGAATTTGTGTTCAAGGCATTTAAATTAGGCAGTAGCAGAGTTAAATCCTTTAATTTCTACATTGTTTGAACTGGTCAAGAGATTTACTCTCCTGTTAGTACAGGAAACCCCTTAATAGTCTCTCCTTGACTTATTTTAAATTATTAATATTATTGCCATTAGTGATGGCAATAGAATTAATGGCTTACAGTTAGAATGGAAATCAGACTGGTTCTGAAAGCAGCCACTAGCAGTATGTGCACTATTAACACTTTATTTTGCTTGTAGGTAAGACAGATCCGATACTTGCATGGAACAGCAGAGCGCAATGCCACTGGAGCCTTATTTGTGGTAAATAATCTGCTTTATTGTAAGGGGGATGGGTCAGAAGAATTTGGCATATGCTTTTTCAAATCTGCCTAAAAGCTTCTGATGGGCAGAACCTTGCTATAGAAACCCATTGGCATTTACAATGATGAGTGTTTTTTTTTTTTTTTCTGTAGAACCTTTACTAGAATTGCAGTGGAGTATCAAAAGGTTTTATTTTAGTTTTTGGCTCTTGTGTTTCTTGCCTTATATAGTGAAAATGCTCCATAATTTGTATGTGACTGCAGATGAGACTTTGCTTAAACTTAAAATTTCATTATGAACCAGTTCTTGTTTCCTTTATTTATTTGAGTTGAATTTGTAATTGAATCTTGTTAAACATTTTGCAAGTGCAGTTTCTTGGTTTTTGAAATTTGCTGCAGAATTACCCATGGGCTCACATCCTAGCTGTGTTTACAGGAGTCGAAAAGTATAGTTCTTGTTCATGTTCTGTGTGATACAGCAGGTTGTACAAGGAAACCATTAGGCACTGTCATAAAAGGCAGAAACAGTAGTAGTGATTGCAAAAAGTAAAAAGCCCTTTAATTTAAGTGTATAAAGCAGCTGTGTTGTTTGTCTACCTCTGAAGAGAACCTGAAGCATCTTGAGAGTGTATTTTGTCCCATTCTGCTCCATTCAGAGCTTTAGCTGGTCTGCAGTTTAACAGCTGAATAATTTGGCATTTTCCCAACCCTTGGTAAAAATCAGCCCTTTATGAGAGTTGACCACTGTTGCAAACAGGTGCTCAGGATTTTTGGACACGTTGTTGTTGTTCTTTCCTTTCTGCAGCTGTCTCTACAGCTTTAACCATAAAATGAAGTTAATAGGATCTCAGTATATACTTTGTGTACTTTTCCAGAAATCTGAGCAGGAATTGGTGATTTACAGGGTGAGAGCTGGGGTTCAAGGAATAGAGGAAATGCTGTAGTCTGGCAATTTAGGAAATTTCAAGTGTAGTTGGAGATTGGTGAAGACAGGCAAAAGATGTCTTTGGCACCCTAATGGTTGTTGATGTCTGACATATGAAGCTACATAGCTTTGTAAATTCAAGATTTATGTAGTTGTTTAATTATTTGCTGCAGGAAGGAGCCTGATAACAGAGAAAGTCAAGTAGAAAAGCTGAGTGCTTTGCAGATGTTTATTTAATGGCATCATTGATGACTTATTCCACAGCAGAATTTTTGCTAGAGGAGCAATAAGAACTTGTTTCTGTGGGAGTTTTTTTTTCTTGTTATTTTGTTTTGGGTTTTTTTTCTCAATTGTTTTTTAATAAGGTAATATTTGTTCTTCTCTGAAGTAATGGGAAGAAGACAGTTGGATGTCACTGTATGTGTGTGTAACTGTTTACCCTAACTGAATTCCAGATGTTACTTGAAATGCCAAATTTCAAGGGAAACTTGTCCTGCTGGTTTGAGATGAAAGCATTTTAATCAACACCAGGTGTTCATATACAGTCAGAAAACTGGACTCCCCCTGGATTTCTGTAGAGGAAAAAACAATTTTTAAAAGTTGGTGGTTTGGTTTTTTTTTTAATTACAAACGGAAGTGTCCAAAGTTTGTTTGAAGACTGCAGGACTAATGGGAGTAACTCAGACTTGTTGTGGTCCTCTTAGTGTGTCAGTTTACACAAAAATGTCTTGGGTTTGTTTTACAAAGCTTATTGCTGCTACTTATTGCACTTTTCATATATAAAATCTGTATGTGAGGAAGGAAAATGCATGAAGAGTATTTGTGTTGTAATTGCAGAGGACAGGCTAGGAAGGGACCTGGTTGTCATAAAATCCAGTATTAAAAGGCATTTCTGATTTGCATGCCTATGCTTCCCTTTACAAACATGTTGCATGTTAGCAGAAACACACAGGAATAAGAGAACTTCCGCTGAGATGCCTTTGTATTCTGAAATACTCAGGAAGAGCCATTCTCTCATTCATTAAATTCAACTAGATGCCATCACAGGCAGCTACATCACACTTCCAATGAGAGGATATCAAGTACAAAATTAGGTGGATTTTTTTCCTGTAGAAATGTAAGAGTGATGCTCCAAATCTCTATGTTCTGATGGCTGGGGAAGGCCTAATTCCAAAGACATTTATTCACATTACCTTTCTTCATTAAAACATGCATTCTCTATATTTGACTTTTACCTGATTTTACTTGACTTATACGTGATCTTAGCCTACTTGTGAAGTTGGTCAGTGAGATAGTTGAGTTTGAGAGCACTCTCACCATTCTTAAAGTAAGAAGGGTTTATATCTTGAGTTCTGTTAGAGCAGTGAATGTAGGGTTTTTCCTTTTAGAGGAGGAGTAATACATATTTTTTCAGTGCTGATTTGATATGGATTCTGAACATTGTCCCTGCAGACCACCCAGTTCTCTCATTTTGGTTTACAGTGTTTTCAACTGGTGTTTACCATAGGGTATAGGTCAGGTTTCAGGACAACTTTTTCACAGAGATTATTAGATCACTGGGAAAAAAAGAAAGCATAATAATAAAATTGCCCAGGTCAGTGTAGCAAAAAGAATATGAGGTGGCCATTCAGCAGCCTTAGTGGCTTCCATGGGAGTGCACTGGCATCTGTGGCTTGGGTAGCCTTTGCAGTGAAGGTGTTCCTACTTAAATAGGCTCTGTTCTGCAATAGAAATGTGATACAGTCAATGTATGAATGGAATGAGAACTTCACATAAGACTCTGGGAAATTGGGGAGCATGAGAAGATATTTGGAAAAAGACTTGTGGGGATGGAGAATGCAAAGAAAACAGAGCCAGGCTCATTTCAGTGGTGCTATGTGACAAGACCAAAGGCAATGGCCTCAGAGAACATCAGGAAACACTTTTTCACTATGAGGGTGACAGAGCACTGGAACAGGTTGCCCAGAGAGGTTGTGGAGTCTCCATTATTGGATATATTCAGAAAAAGCCATCTGGACACAGTCCTGGGCAAGCAGCTCTGCTTGAACAGAAGAGTTTGACCCAGATGACTTCCAGAGGTTCCTTCCAACTTCAACCACTCTGTAATTTAACATATGTCTTTATTATTCCTCTTCACATGTAGGGCATTTAAGGATATCAGTTTAAAGATGATACACTGAAAAGAACAGCTGCTCCAGACAAAGAGAGAGTTTTAATAAATCAAGTACATTTATTTGCAAAGGAAATTGAGATGAAATACAATTGCTAACTATCAAATAACTACAGAAGACAAAATAATAGCAAAATAGACATGCAGATTTGAGAAGGAAAAGCTAAGTTATGGAAATACTTATCATGAATTGTGGAATTGATCTGTGCAGCTAAGACATGGAAATGTCTCTAAGGGAAAAAAACAATAAAAGTTGTACAGTATTTCCAACCAGCCTTTCTTCCATCAGACTCTTTTTGAGAACTTCCATTAAAATTGGAAGAAAACACTCATCAAGACATTAAGTATGAGTCATCAAATCCTTTGTCTGGAAGGGTCAGTCTAAAATAATGGGAATCATGTTCCTAAAAGCTCTTTTATGTTATTTTGTAAACAACACAATAAGCAAGAAATTATCACTTAATAAAATACTAGCGTGTTCAAAGGGCATCAGTCATCTTTCATTAATTCTTGTTCCTATAGGAAAGTCATCCTTAGTGAAGTATTTATCAATGGTAGTTTTATATTGGACTATATATGGAAACTGTGGTGAGGGCACAATGGTTTCAAACTGGTGGTAGCAGTCAAATTGTATACTTTGGGACGTAGACAGGATAAGCAAAGGTAATCCCTGGACAGACCAACAGATGTAATTGAAGTATTTGCCCTTGTAATATTTCCATATTAAAATTTATAAATCCAAGCATAGCTGTGGACCACACATGTTCTGAGTTCTTCACTGATGAAACACACTTCAGCATGCAAGTGTCTTGGCAATGTTAAGGCTTTTCATTAAATCCTTTGCTGCTCAGTAAGAAGAGTGTAGTGTGGCAACTGCAAAATCGCCCTTGATTACTGGAGGAAATGATCCAAATGGAAGTGGAGGGGATTTCTTTGTTCTAAATACACTTCTAAAGCTTTTATTATTGGCTGGTTGTGGATTACTTTTAACCTAAAGCCTCAAATATAGCTGGTGTTTTCCCAAAAACTGCATTTAATTTGAAGTTTTCTCTATTTGAAAACCATATGAAGTTTGGAATTAAACCTAATTACAGGTATTTAAAGGAAACCAAAATGAGCTGCTTAAAGACAGCTAAATTTTTTGTGCAGGAACATTTTCTGGTGGAAAAGGATTTTCATCAGAACTAAGCTTTTAGTACAGGAAAATGTTACGTTTTCAAGACCTCCAGATTTTTATTGTCTGAATACAGAAGAACTAATTATAATTTGATGTTTCCACAGAAGATCACCTTAAAAATAACTTGTTAGAATACCTTATTTTTGAAATACTAATTCAAAATTCTGCTTCTTACATTCTGATTCAGAATTGTATATAAAATGAAAATGTTGAAATCCATTAGAAATCAAAACAATATGTTAAAATGGACTAATAATTTGTTTGAATGTGCAAATGTTTTAATTCTACAACAAACTTCTTACTGAATTGTGATTTATTTTTTTTTTAAATTAATGTTTCATGGTAAAAGGAAAAATGAACTGTTGTTTTAGTCTCTTGTTTGTTAAGGTATTAACCAGGGTGTTCTTACTCTGCCTATTGTAAATTTCAACATAATTGTCAAACTGTATTAACAGTGTTAAAAATGTGTATTTTGAGAACAACACCTTACATTTCCTCAATATATAATTTCATGTATTTCTCAGTAAATAATTTTTAATAGGAAGTAATGGGAATAGGTAATGATTTTCAAGAATGATTAAATAATTATCAATTTTTGATACCTTTCCCAAATATATTTCATCAATGTAGTATTACAGAATTTTAAGTGAAATGTATAGTTTTTATTCAAGCAGCTCAACTGTAACTGTGTAACTGCTGTATTTTACAACAGTAAATATGTACCAAATTATTTCCTGGCAACTCAATTTTACATGTTTTTCTTTTCTTGCAGCATAGAGATAGTCCTGAAAACAATCCAGATACTCCATTTGAGTTCACATCTGAAAACCTAAAGGTATGCAGACAAAAAAAAGTTCAATACAGAGACATCTTTGTCTTTAGAGCAGTACTGATTGGTTTTCCTTCTTTCCCTTTAACAAGCGAATAGAAGCGATCGTAAACAACTACCCAGAGGGACACAAGTCTGCAGCTGTCATGGCAGTACTGGATTTGGCCCAAAGACAGCATGGATGGCTGCCCATATCAGCTATGAACAAGGTATTTAGTAATTAATTATCTTTCAAGCATAATTTTATTGTTTTCTTTCAATATCTTACTAGAATATTAACATTAATTAATGAAAGCTTACTAACATGGGAATTTACATGTGGCACACAATTGTGAGAATTCCCTATGAGACTAGGTTTTTAAAAATAAAAGGGAAGACTAATGCAGAAAACTCAGGGCTCTGTTTACGTAATATTAGGTCATTGCTAGACACCACAAACAAATCAAATCAAAATCAAAAATTAGATAAAACCTATTCAGATAGGCTCTTCTCCCAAACCAATCCTGGAATTAGGAACAGAAACTTGATTTTGTTCACTGCTGAATGTGGGGAAAGAAAAAAAGGCAATGTCAGTGGAATTTTCTTCCTCACAGATTAATGTCATTTCACACATTGCCTGGATTATACTTAATCTCTAAGTCTGTAAGGACTCTGCAGAGCAGTGTTGGTGTAGTAGATGTTAAGAGTGTTGGGTATTGCCTCACAGCAAGCAACCAGAAGACTTGTCAGGTTATTTATTAAAATTGTTTCAAAATAACCAGGCAGACAACTACACTGCTCCAAAGTAAGAGGCTGCATGACAGTAACCAAATACCAAGAAATAAAAAAATCTGGTTTATATTCATAATATTCATAATAAATCTGTTGTACTTCGTGTTACCATCTGGAATATCAACAGTTTTAAAGTGTAAAGTTTTAAATTCAGTTTAAGGTGAGGATTGTGAGCATTAGAGAAATGATTGAAGGAGATAAATTAGCATTCAAAGAAAGGGAACTTAGTCTGCTACAGTTTCTACAGCAGAACATAAAGCTTCAAAGCTCCATTAATGCTGGGAGTGTGTCTTCATTTATTTAAGTTCAGGTTGATACTATGTTTGAAACGATCTTAAGGCTTTTAAGTGAACAAATATTTTCCATGATTTGTTATTTGCCTGCTAGAGAAACTGGAACCTTAAAACAGTTACACTATTGAAACCAATTAGATAACCACAGTACCAGCTTGCAAGTATTCCTTACCAAAAGGCTTCCATGGATTAGTGTGGGCAGGCTCGTACAGGCTTGTTCATTCACAGAGCCCAAGTGCAGTGTGAGCTGGAGCTGACAAGGAAAGCCCACACCCAGCTGACTCCTCACATCCCCCTTGTATCTGACAAGAGATGCTGGAGGGGAGCTGATTAGGCTCCTCACTGTGCTGATTTGTGGCTTCATGAAGTTTGATGCCAGTCAAAGAACTCCAGTGTCTGGTCTTGGCACGTGGAATACATTTGTGCTTTGATACCCACCCCCACCCTCTTACTTAACTGTTACTGCAAACAGGACAGGTGACTTCAGTGAAATGGTTTGCCAAACGCCTTTACTGCTCCCATCTGAGAATTCAACACAGCATGTTTTTCCTGTCACAGGTTGCTGAAGTTTTAGATATGCCTCCCATGAGAGTCTACGAAGTAGCAACCTTCTACACCATGTACAATCGCAAACCTGTTGGGAAATACCACATTCAGGTCTGCACCACCACACCGTGCATGCTGCGAGACTCTGACAGCATTTTAGAAGCCATTAAGAAGAAACTTGGTATGACACAAGTTTGTAATACACTTTCTGCATTTTTTACTTTTATTTAATGATACTGAAGTAAATTTTTTCATATAGTAGAAGAAAATGGCCTTGTTCAACTTCATAAAGTTCACATGGGCCCACCTCTTCAGCCTGTCAAGGTCCCTCTGGATGATAACATGATGTTAACATAATTTATGAGTTCTCCAAAAAGTCAGTTGAGAATGGTGCATCATGGTGCATACAAGCACTACTCAGGGGTTTTGTGTGTGAATTGAGGGGTTTTTCCTCCTTTTTGGGTGGTTATGGGGAGGAAGAGAGGGCAAGATCAGCAACTGACAACTCTTCCCCTTCTATGAAAATCTGTGTTAACTTTTTCTAAGAACCATTGATAAGAGCTGCAGAACAGCTGTCTATTATCTGTCATTTCATATACTCTGTTGTCTGAAAAAGGCATATTTAGATGAAATGTCTTGTTACTGCATAGATAGCTTAATTTTAACTGAAACTGTCAGCTTGAGAAATAAAAGCAGTAAGGATGATTCTGTAGTTTTTACTGAGACAGGCCTTACTTACAACTTCTATTATTTCCAACCTCTTCCTGCTAGTAAGTGGAGGAAAACTGCTTTTCAGCACTCTTCCTTCCATGGAGTATTTTGTAGAGATCAGACTCTGAGATGTTATTTGAACTAACTCATCTCTGAGGAATGTCTGTATCTCTAGCAGTAGAACAGTAACATGCCACGGATGATAAGTATGTGTGCAGTTCAGTAAATCATCCTTTGTGTATAAACTTGCAAGTTGTTTATGAATTTGCAGCTAACAACACTTGGAAGTTGGTTAATTTGGGAATATTCAGCATTGTATATTAATGTATTTCCTATCAGCATATAAAAGTTATGTGTTCCTATTTTTCCATTTTATTGTATTGATTACTAAAAATGTTCTTGAGTAGATCTTTTGTGTTTCTCAGAGTTGTCATTTCATGATTATTTCTCAATGAAACATACCCGTAAGCAAGGTCTCAAAAATGTATCTGAAAATCAATTTAATGCTTTTGTAGAAACTTCTGTTTAAAGGAAACATTTTGACTCATTTAAAGGGGTTTAACTTTGCAAATGCTTTTAAAGCCAAAATACAAGTAATGCAATGTCCAGGGTGTACTTAGATTCATGCTTTATTACTTTTGTTCATAACCATTGCTGAGCCTAATTAATTTATTGGTTTAGGTATTAAAGTTGGGGAAACAACACCTGATAAGCTCTTCACACTAATAGAAGTGGAATGTTTAGGTGCTTGCGTGAACGCACCGATGGTACAAATAAATGACAACTACTATGTAAGTACTACATTTCCTTTTAAGTGATTAAGCTGCTTTGCTGGCTTACCTGTATTTTCCAGTTGTTCCAGATTGTGAAGTTGTGGTCAGTTTTCTAATTCATGTTGGCAGGAACAACTTATTACCTACAACATCTTTTAGTTTCTTGGCCTCTTGCTGGAACACTTCATTTGTATCAGGTGTGTCAGTGTATTCTGCATTTCAGTTCCTGTCTTGGGTATACAAGCAAAGTGATGCACTTTTGTGATTGTGGTCTGCCCATAAATGTGGAATTTTTAAACAGGTATTTGATAAGCTTTTGAAAGCGCTTTAAAGTCCTCCGTTGGAAAGTATGATTTCATTATACCAATTTAAGAAGCATTGTCTTGAAACTCTACCTAAATTTTTTTTGTTGCAGCCAACACCATTCTGCAGTATGTGTCATGGCAATGTGTGTAGTGGATAGGCAGAGATCCAGCTCCCTAACACCAAGAAGCTAAAAACACAAACCCTTGGCCTGCATTAATGCTGTTTAACATAATTTCTGTAACTACATGTAAAATGAAGTCTCAATGTTAAAATGACAGTAGACTTTTCAATTTTCGTCATTCTTCAAGCCACTATGTGTGTTAATAGATAGGATCAAAATTACCTGCACTAGGGTCACACTGATCTGGTAAATTTGGAAGTGTTGCATTTGGCATAACTGATGTCTGTTTTGTCAATGATTTTTTTTTTTTTTTTACAGGAAGATTTGACACCCAAAGACATTGAAGACATAATTGATGAGCTAAAGGCTGGCAAAGTTCCCAAACCAGGCCCAAGGTATGCTGCATTTATAGTAATCTATACTTGCATGTAGTTATAAATTATATATATTATATTGATCACCTACATGAAGGGTGATTCTTCTGAGAAACTAAATTACTTTTGCAATGATTTGAGTTCACAGCCTACAGCTAGAAAGCATTAATTATTTCACTAAACAGAAATGCATGCATTCAAAGCCAAAACAAACTGGAAAGAACTGAGAATTTGCATGTTCTTGGTGACTGACCAGAGGAGCATGAAATGTGAAAATGTGAATTTTCGTTTGTCTTAGTACTTAACAGATGAATGATGTCACCTTTTGGAATTTTTATCTAGATCATTTAAACCAACAAATTCCTGTTGGCTGACTGGTTGGTTGGTTTCTTGGTTGTGTTGTTTTTTTCTAATTTCTTTTGGTCAAAAAACAAAGATTGATAGTTAGTGATGAGGGTTATTGCTGAACTTTTCTTATCTGTTATTTCCCACTGTTCTTTATTAGGCCACCTATGTCTGTGTCAATGGGGAAATTAATTTGACTAGGGTGTTACCTATTCCTATTGTTTCTATAAAGATGTTTTGAATACAAGAACAGTAATCTTAAAAGAGTTACAGTTTCAAAAAAATACAGGGAAGCATCTATAACAAAATTATGATTGATAAAATTTGATGCTGTCTGGCCAACCTCTAAATGAATATAATAGAAAACAAGCGGTCATAGCTTGCATTTCAGTTACAAAATTATTTGTCACTACTTGAATTTGGAATACTTTCACTTTAACAGCTACATCAGACTTTTGCTGAAGGCTGAATGGGAAGAACAAAAGAAAAATAGTGGCTTCAGGCTTAAGTCAGATTTTTTGACTCTCTTCTATCCAACAATTAAGCATAATCTAAGGTTTTATCAATACCAGCAATGAATAAACTGCTTTGATTTTTCAGGAGTGGACGTTTTTCTTGTGAGCCAGCTGGTGGCCTTACTTCCCTGACTGAACCACCCAAAGGACCAGGTTTTGGAGTTCGAGACGACCTCTAAGGATTTTTGTAATATAAGATGAACTGTCTGAAAAGAATAAAGTATCTTCAATCTCAGTAATTATGTACATTCTAATGTTTTGTTTTAAAAATAAAACAAAACTGCAATTAGACTATCCAACTTACTGTGGTTTTTAACTACAGCACATTTTAATTGTAATTCCAGGTTAATAAGAAAAGTGGTTCTGTAGGCTGTGCAAAGTAATTCCCTGAAAGAGTCCACTTACGGTCAATAAGCAATGAAAAGTTGAGTCTTTTGATCTGTCATTGAAAATTTTTTCAGCTTTTTCTAAAGCTCTTTGAAGAAGCAACAAATCTCACTAAATTACAAATCTGGCAAGTGCACAAGGAACCAGCCTGAAAGGAGATTATCTGACAAAATTTCATCATGTTACTTTTATTGGCAATTTATAAACAAACACACAAATAAGAAAGGTTATCTGAGCTAGGTTGTGTAAAAACTCTTGTAGGTTCAGTTAAAAGTGGTTCTTCGTAAGCTTAATTCTTCTTAGTATCACTCTGTAATCAGGAAAAATGTAAAGCCTCTAAGAGCAGTAGTACTCTACTAAAAGAATTAATAGCAACAAAAACCAACTTCTTGTGCAAGTTTATTTAGTACAGAGAAGGTATGGAGTTGTGGGGGGGGAAGACAGAATCTACCAGAACAGTTCAACATGTGCCTGAGGGCAGTAATATCTGACACTGGATCTTTGAGTCACAGATCCTTCTTTGACCTTACTACTATGCACCAACTTCTCTCAAGAACTAATCTGTGTAAAATTGAAGAATTTCTTTCAATATAAAAAAGTTGAAGATAGTATTTTTAAAAATTGACTGCCTACTGACACTTAATACCTATGCTTATAAAACTGAGCAAAAGCTTTAGCTATACAGACATATATTTCCATATAAATTAGGAAATGTGGATACATCAGTCACTTGAGACTATATTGTGTCTGTCTCTTCTAAAACCTGCTATGGAATTTACATTATAGTTGATGAGATAGATGAAGCTTAACTGTATAATTTATAATTCTATATTATATTTAGTTCTGTTTTCATAGTCTGATCGATAGTACTAAACCAAACTATTCTCGCTCTTCAGAGTTAAATTCTGTTTTTACAGATTAATGTAAAATGGCTATTAAATGGCTATTGTAAAATGGATGGCTATCTCATGTAGTCTATTTGTGCACCACCATTATTTCAATAGGCTCTGTGAAGTTCCTTCACAGGCCGTTAACAAAATAGTATTACTGTTGGTAGTTCTGGGAACATAATATGTCTGTAAATCATTTGTATGAGAAACTTGCTGCCATATTACTGTGTTTATAAAATTAAATAATTGGAATGCATGCAAGTGGAAAATTCAATAAATACATACAACTCATGAGTGAAGCAGTTTGCAAACAAACATGAAAAAAAATCTTGTGTAGAAGTAGTACAGAACATAGTACACAGGAGAAAATAGTACATGGATTGAAATCTTATCTGTCATTTAAAGTTCCTGAATGCTCTTCTGAAAGGTCACTCCATGTTTGTAATAGCCTCAGGCCTTGTAGCAGGCCAGGCATCTGGCACTATGTGGCACTTGTCTAGAGACATGACATGAGGCAGACGGCATCTCACATCTTCATACAAAGACAGACTCATTTTAGTATCCCAGTCTGACTGCGCTGTTTGTTCCATTTTAACAACAAAGCTGTACTCGTAGTTCATACAGCCTTACCTTATTCTAACCCTTAAAGTATCTGTTGAATACAAGTGAGGATGTTGCATGCATTATGGAACTGTACTGTGCTACAGTTATTCATGGTTTTGTATTGTAACAGTGAAATCCCATGGGATTGCATAATTGTGTTGAAGGGAAACATAGTTTTGGACCTGCCAAGCTTGAAACTTCCAACTATACAAAAACAAAGCTCTGGAATGCCAGACTCCGCCCATTTTTAAAGCCAGACAGAATTTGTAGCCTTATCCACTTTTTCTCCCCAATTTATTCCATCTGCACATTACAATTTTGAAGTCTGTCTCATGAGGAGAACACGGACCTCAACAGTTCCCATATTTTGGAGATTGTTAGTGATGTTCCACAGACAAGCTGTCAGTCATTTTGATGCAACGTGTGAGAATCTGCCAATCACTTGACTAGAACAGGATAATTTATTTACATTATCTCTACTGCATGGCACAAATATGATACATCACACTTTAAGTATTGAAGGGCAACTGCAGGTCTGTGAAATGATTGCAGAGAAATAAAAAAATAACTATTACACACCTATCTCATCTTACCCACTTCATTAATCAATTATATGAGGCTTTATGGTCCTGGATTAAAGAGTTTGTATTAAACAGTTAGAAAAAAATCACACCCTGTGTTATTTCAGGTTTTGCTGAAATTTGAACATTTCAACATCTCAAGTAGAAATACCTATTTTGCACTGTATGTATATGTAATACATGTACAATAATATGTAGCTGTTTACTATATACAATAAATTACTTTCACAATGGTAACTTATGCAAGATTGTGATGAGAATTTACAAGGTGATCATTATGAAAGAGTTCCAGAATAGAGTAAGAAATGATATATCCAAGTTCCCTTTTCCGTTTTTGAATACCTGTAGATAATACCTTGTGCTTGCTTTTCCTAGTAGAAAACTCAGTATATTTTACAACATAGTATATATATATATATTAAATTAACATTTTATTAATTAATATTTATTGGTAACAAATATTAACAGGACATAATTTTCATTATCCTCTATAGCAGAGGGTCACTAATATTAATTCTAGGCAGTAGCACTAACCTGTCAAATAATTACACACTTGCAATTCTGCAGTTTCAATAGAGCGGTTAATATCCTGGATTGTAAGAGTACTGGGTGGTGAGTTAAACAAAAAATGAGTCAACTACAGCATCAGTCAACACATTGCTGAAACTGGTACTGCAGCACCAACATAACTGATTTTGTGTTTTTGTCTCCTTGAATGAAGGGGTAATTAAAAAACTCACACACTATATTCTCTAGAAGTGGAAGATAAAAAAGTAAAAGAAACTGGGGAAGAAAAAAAAAAAGCTACCTTGAGAAGATTTTAAAATAGGTAGTCTTGAGAAAGGAAATGTGATTTAGGACACAGAAGCACAAGACACCGAAAGAATCCACTGGACTGCAAGAGTGGGAGGTGACAATTCTTTCCTTTGGTGAAGACAGAAGGAAGTATGGAATAATAGGATATTCTAGATACCAAATTATGTGTGTGATGCTGGATAACAGAAAGGATTTCCATGACCACCACACATTGCTAGAAAAATGTTACCTGGACCAGTGTTCTGTCATTAAATAGGAAGAAGCAGTGAAATCCCATTCCACCTGTGCAGGATGTTTGCTGGCCATATGCTGACCTGCTTGTTACCTCCTAGAGGCTAGTGTACACACTTTCACCTGTGTGGCACCCTGCAAGTTCTTACTTCAGACTTTTGTACTGCAGCCTGAAATTTTCAGTCCTTCAGATACTAGACTAGACTGAATTCAGCAATTACACAGTTCAACCAGATGCTGGACCTGTTTGTCCTAAGACTAGTAGTTCACAGGGCTGGTGACACAGGATGTTCCGCTGGGGAGGGCAAATCCAGGGAAGTCCTATGCACACCAACACCACGCAGCTACAAGAGCATCTTGCAGCTGCGCTAGATGTGTAACGGAGGAGCTGCTGGAAACAAGGGCAAGAAACAAATGTAGGGGTAGCAACTAGCAGTCAACTGACTGATGCTTTTCACTAGTCCAAATAGTAGTTCTCACAAAAGGCTGAAGGAACAGTATTTTTCCCAGTTACTGATAGATATTATTATCAGATCTTAACATCTGCTGCTGCAGATACTGCTCATGAAACTCCTTCCCTGTTACCTCAGCTGCTGGTAGTGAACACCTAATACAAACCAAAATCCTGGAGCTACACACTACTCATGCACAAGGATCAAAATGTAGTATCACAATGCAGGCCACACCTGTAGTCTGTCATGTTTTCCAGTGTGGATCCCTGTATAATCCCACAAAAAGAAAAATTATTCTGCCTTTGGAAACTGCTCTTACTCTACTTATGCTGACTTTCCATAGGCTGTCTGCTATTCAATGAGCTTGCCACTTCTAGAGATAGCCCCTGCCATCAACCAAACAGAAAAGACTGTGAAGGCAACTCCCTTTGTTACATGGTCACGCTGACAGAGCTGTTCCTGGCCACCAGACAGTAGTCATTGTACACTAACAGAATCAAATGAAAGTGAAGGCAGTTGCTTTACAACACCAATGATCTGTACCAGCATCTGTTCAAGAAGACTGTGAAAGCAAACGAGAGAAGTTCGTCTGATTAGTAAGCCATGGAGCATGGGAATATGAGAGATTGTTGATGCCATCCTCTATCCATTCTGGTACATCATCGCTGGGGATCAAAATATACGGCAAGTCTACGCAATAGGTGGCCTCAATCAAAGTAATCTTTTGATTGTGAAAACAAAAAATCACTTTTCTGATGAATAGGAAGTATTAAGGAATTTCTACCCAGTAACAGATTAAAGCAATCCAGTAGCAGAGTGACCACAGCAATTAAGACTATGTTAAAGGGCTTTGTTTAGCTGCTGGCAGCCCTTCAGCACCTCCCAGAAGCGATCTGGATAGCATTACTCCAGAACCCACGATTACAGCACCAGACGTGTGTTCCTTAAGTCCTGCCACGTACTACTACTGTTACAAGCAGATGCAAAACCTTTCACGAGAATGACCCCTTTCTAAGGCTACAACCAGGGCTACATCGCCAGTCAATTCCGTAACCCCTTAGATGTCTTCATATGAATTCTAGCTCATTTATGCAAGCAGGGCACTCCCAAAAAAACCAGTTTGGAAACCTAGAAGTTGTCCTGTCCTGCAGCGGCAGGCGGATGCGAATTGTGTCTGAGTGGAGGGGGGCGGGGGGAATGCAGCACTGACAAGACCCCCAGGCGCGGCGGGATCGGCATCCCACAGCTTTTCGCGAAAGCGAACGGCCACCCAGGGCTTTCCAGCACCGCGCCACACGCACCTGCGTCCGGGGGCTTCTCCCAAAAATTGCGGGGCCTTTAGCCGCAGACCCCCCACAGCTGCTAGCGCGCGGTGAAGGGATGGAAGAAGGTAAGATGGAACGGGACGGGCTGCGCCCGCCGCGCACGCGCACTACGCCGGATAGTTAAAACTCACTGCGCCATCACCGCCGGAAAAACCCCTCCCCGGGGAGGGGGCGGCAGCGGCAGGACGGGGCGAGGCAAAGCGGGGGGCGCTGGTGGCTGTAGGTCGGCTCCTGTCCCGTGGCAAAGACTGGAAAAGCT